GCGCCCAGCCATGAATTTAAATTTTAAATGGCAATTTTAATAGTCACAGTACCCTAGAAGGCTTATAGCCTAATGTTAGTATATCAAATGCTTTTTACAAGACTGATATTCACAGACACTGATTCCTTCTAATTTCCACAGTGGTAAGGAGAGATTTTCCATGATTCTCCATGGATTAGACAATTAAGTCACCCAATTCTCATCCTTGGTTTTCTTCAAAAATACTCACCCATATAAATCTCATTTATGTCCATACATTTTTCTCAGTCTTTAGGCTTAATGTTAAGAACTAAAGCATTTGTTGAAGCAAGCGGATCACTTGAGGTCAGGAGTCTGAGACTAGCCAGGCCAACATGATGAAACCCCGTCTCTACTAAAAATACAAAAAATTAGCCAGGCATGGTGGCAGATGCCTGTAGTCTCAACCAGTCGGGAGACTAAGGCATGAAAATCACTTGAACCCAGGAATTGGAGGTTGCAGTGAGCCAAAATCATGCCACCACACTCCAGCCTGGGCGACAGAACGAGGCTCTGTTCCCCAAAAAAGAACTAAAGCATTTAGAATCATAGTGGCAGTGGTGGTGGTGGTGATGGTGATGGTGATGGTGATAATGATGGTGATGGGATGGTGACGGTAATGGTGATTTTGGTAGTGGGAGTATTGGTGTGGCATTTCAGCAAATGTTGTTTTCATTTGTTTTAACCATCAGCCAAGGAACAAAGCAATCTGTCTCTTCAACATAATTACACAGGTGACTAAGTGTTACCCACTTCCACCTTCTCTAATCAAGGAAATGGTGATGATCAGGTTACTATAGACTCCTTATAAGGTGCCTTCATAATGGATAACTGCAGCCATTTTATGTAAGCATTGTCCTGTGGTCAAAAAAAAAAAAAGATTCCAGTATACTTTTGAAAAATGGGGGTGGGGGAGGGAGTTTTAATATGCTGCATTCAAGATTTGACCTGTGGATTTAGATTTTAGCAATTAATGAGGTTGACTTAATCTAAAGCTTTCTGGTGATAGATGTTTGAGAAGTTAGGATTATATTAATTCGTCATGTTGAAACCACAGATTTAACTTTAAAAAATATTATTTTAAACTTATTATAATACCCATATTCCAATACACATTATTCATGTTAGCTATCATCTCACCATTTCCTTTTTTACTTATTTTTAATTTTTTTTTGAAAATAAGTAGTTGACTTTTCTCTTTGAATCTTTACATCATTCAATCCCAAGATTCCTTATTGCATACTAATTTCCTGCCGCCAAGAAATCTGTTTCATGCCCTAAGCCAGCGTATGCCCATTTCCAGTGATTACATTTCTCATAATCCAATTCATATTGTCCTTATTTAAAATATACAATGTCTAGTCTCAACCTCAGACCTGCAAAGGTATCACAATATTTTTGTTAGCATGTTCCTTACCACAGTTCTTGGATTTCTACCAAAACCAAGTTTCTACAAAACTTCCTGTGGTCATCCTTCTTAGCCTTTGCTGCCCTAGTTTCCTTAATTCTGATTAAAGCTCTAGCTCATTTATCCGTGGATTAAGCAATGAACAGTAATTAATATTGTGCACCCATTCAAGGCTGTTTTGCCATCATTTTTTGGAATACCTTAAAAAGACTAAACTTTGCGATAGGCCGTATAGGAATGCAAATGTAAGGAAATGCAGACGGGAGTGTAAGTGAAAACATGCAGTACTGACCTTCCTGATTGCTCATTACAGGAGACCAAGATGCATTCTACCCCAGTGGGGGGTCCCATACCACTCATGGATCTGAATCAGCTGGTGAGTTCAAAACCACTTCAGTCATGTACTGTTATAATCGTTGAGCCTGACGATGACGATTAATGAAGTATGAGTCAGTGTCTCCAGAGAAGTGGTTCTCAAACCTTCTTAGCATACATCACAATTACAGGGAGGGCTTATTAAATCACAGCGCTGGACCCCACCCTTAAGGCTCCTGATTCAGTAGGTCAGGGGTGGAGCCCAAGCATTTGCATTTCTAATCAGATCCCTGGTAATGCTGACACTGCTGGGACAGGGATTGCACTTTGAGAACTACTGCTCTGGAGAAAAGCCTTGCACTGAAAACCTCAGGAAGAATTCAGGCAGTGTCCCAATTTAACATTGCACTACACCAGAGTGAGTAAGAGCATGAGTTTTGTAGCAAAAATGGCCTGAGAACGATTCCAGCCCTCTACATATTAACTGAGCAAGATGCTTTAAAGGGTCTGAGACAAAATTTCTCAAGTAATAAACTTGGAATAATAATAATTGTCACAGGACATTGTTTCAAAGACTAAACGATAGAATACATGCAAAGCATTTAGCATCATCCTGGCACATGATATCATCACTGGTATTTGTTGGCAATTTGCTGTGTGCCAACAGTATCTTTCTAAACACTTTACATGTATTAAGTTGGGCCAAATGGAACTGCCATTATTGTAGGTCAAGAACAGGTCAGTATCAGCGAGGCGCAGTGGCTCACATCTGTAATCCCAGCACTTTGGGAGGCCGAGGTGGGTGGATCACGAGCTCAGGAGTTCGAGACCAGCCTGACCAACATGGTGAAACCCTGTCTCTACTAAAAATACAAAAATTAGCCGGGTGTGGTGGCACGCACCTATAATCCCAGCTACTCGGGAGGCTGAGGCGGGAGAATTGCTTGGACCTGGAAAGCAGAGGTTGCAGCGAGTCAAGATCGCACTGCTGCACTCCAGTCTGGGTGACAGAGCAACACTCTGCCTCAAAAAAAAAAGAAAAAGAAAAAGAAAAAGAAAAGAAAAGTTGATATCAGCAAATGTGTAGAGTTTATCTAGTATGAACTCATTCAGTCATCCTACAAACTCTGTGACATAGGTAAGTACTGTTATTATCCCCATGTTACAGATGAGGAAACTAAGGCTCAGAGGGGGTAAGTCACTTGTCAGAGTTGACAGGGCCAGGGAGTGACAGAGCCACCTTTCAAGCCTGGAGGGTCTCATATTACTTCTCATAGCACAGTCTGGAGAAAGCATTCCATAATGACCATAATTACTGCCAGGCGTGAATTCTTAAATAGACTCCTGTTTGTTGTGATTTAGATCACATCCCTGCAAACCTTACCCCAGACTGCAAAAGTCTGGCATGAGGTAGGTTTACTAATGACTTCGACTGCTGGGCTACTGGGAGGTTCTGCCAGTGCTGCTTTACTGTGGTCTCCCTGAACATCATAAATTCAGGTGACCCCATGTAAATGATTTAAGCCGTATCAATTACTGCCTTCCCTTTTTATGCCCAAGTTTGAGTGAGGCTCACCAACAGGTTTAAATGTTTACACATTGAAAACAAATATGAAGATGGATATTTGCATGGTGGCTTCCACAATAACTCTCTATGGAGGAGCACTAGGAGGTAGGGATTCATTAGAGATGCCTCTGAATTAGAGACAGAAGTCACAGGTTCACTGGGGACCTTAGGCAGGGCACTTAACCTTGTCCAGACTCAGTTTCCTTGTTAGGAAAAAGGAGATCAGATCATCTGCCTCAGTTGCTTCCTAGAGTTCTTGTGAGGAAGACAGGGTACCAGAAGTGCGAAAGTACTCTGAAACAGTGGGGAGTTATTAAGGGGCATAATCTCTAAAACCAAGAGACCCCAGCCACTCTGTAAGTGTGATTCTTTAACCATCAGTGCAGACATCACCTAGGAACTTGTTGGAAATGCAGAATCCCTGGCCAACCCAGACCTACTGAATCAGGATCTGCATTTTAACTATACTCTCCCACCCAGGTGGTTTACACGCACATTAAAGTTTGGCGACTTAGACTGTGCTAGACTGGTTTTCTCACCATTAAAGCCAATTGAACGATCTCTGTGCACATGTCTCAGATTACATGTCATCTCCCAACAGGAATATCAAGTGCTCCTCTCTGTGGAACTTGCTATTGTGGCCAGTCCTACCCTGGCTGGATTTGTAGACATCTAGGGCACAAGGCAAGCCCTGCTGTCTCACATCCATCCTCTGTGGCTTTTGCTTGAAGTGAGAATCAGGCGGACAGGAGCCAGTCTCTTTTGTTTGGCTTCTGAGCAGGTGTCTATTGTTCAAACAGGAGGTTTCATCTTGTTGCACACACACCCAGATCTTTTCTTGCTGGGAGCACTTCTTTTTTTTTTTTTTGAAAATGAAAATAAAGAGATTATGATCCATTAATGGCCTGTTTTTTAAATATCAAAGGCTTATGTGAGTCAGAAAAAATAAAATAAAGTAACAGTGAGAGTGACTATACCTCCTGGGGAGTTTTCAAGGCCAAAGATCTTTAGTTTAAGTGGCCAATGTCCTATGACTTGGGCAGGTGAAAACCTGCCAACCACCAAGGACACTGGAAAGCATGTAGGGAAAGGGCCTTGGATTGTTTTGGAGGTTTGTAAAGTCAGAGGCCGCTGTCAACATAGGATGGGGGATGTTGAAACACCTAGATGTCTGGTAGGAACTTGTTTTGCTCCCTTTTAAGTTTTAACAAAAGCATCAAATTGCATAAACAAGAGCTATCATGTCCCCATATAACCATCGTAATCAAGATTTCATTGTGCACAGCCTAAAGTTTGGCTCCATGAGGAAAGCTCTCATTTAAGACCCCACCATCTTCATCCATTGATCAGCCTTCAGGATTCTACAATGGGCTTCCCTTTGGTAGGAAAAAAAGTTCATTTTGGTGGGACACTTTCACATTTTGTTTTGAAGCAATGGAGGAAGAATTTTTTAAAATCTATGAACCTTTCATTTTGATGAGTCTCTTCACAAGATGTCTTAGAAGTTTCTTTTTGAAAAAAATTATTTATTTATTTATTTATTATTTTTATTTTTAATAGGGACAGGATCTCCCTATGTTTCCCAGGCTGGTCTCAAACTCCTGGCCTCAAGTGATCCTCCTGTCTCCGCCTCCCAAAGTGCTGGGATTACAGGTGTGAGCCACCGTGCCCAGCTTCTTAGAAGTTTCTTTTAGAACCATTGTGTCTCCCTCATTTGGATAGGCCTCCATTTCTGACTTGAGGATTGTCTGTCTTGTGATGCTTCCTCCCAGTTTAAGGCATTTTGTTCATTTCCTTATTTTGCTTTTTAGCAGTAGAAAATGTTGATTCTTCTAACAAGGTGTGTTTCAGTGATATATTAGCAGGGACTCTAATAGGGTGATTTTTCATAGTCAGAAAGGGCCACTGCTGCCAAACTCCTTATTTATTTATTTATTTAGAGATGGCGTCTCGCTCTGTCATCAGGCTGGAGTGCAGTGGCACAATCTCAGCTCACTGCAATCTCTGCCTCCCGAGTTCAGGCAGTTCCCCTGCCTCAGCCTCCCAAGTAGCTGGGACTACAGGTGCCCGCCACCACGCCTGGCTAATTTTTGTATTTTTAGTAGAGACAGGGTTTAACTGTGTTGGCCAGGCTGGTCTCTATCTCTTGACCTCGTGATCGACTCGCTTCGGTCTCCCAAATTTCTGGGATTACAGGTGTGAGCAAACTCCTTATTTTATAGTGTTTATGTTGGCTCCTATGATGCTATTGGATGGGATTTTCAGGTTCCCTTTGGGCTTTCTGGAGTGTGTGAGTCCCCTGGGGGTCTTGTTAAAATGAAGATTCTGATTGGTAGCTTTGAGATGAGGCATAAGATTCTGCGTGTCTAGCGATCTCCTCAGGTATGCCTGTACTGATGGTCTGAGAGTCACACTTTGAGTAGCAAGGTCCTAAATTAAAAATAGAAATAACAACCACACACAACTACCAATACCATGTACTTCTTTAAATGTCTGTAAAATTATGATGAACAGGATTCTATTATCCCCATCTTACGAGTGCGAAGAGAGAGACTTGGAGAAGGTAAATTGACCCATTACACATGGCTAGTTAGCAAGAGACAGCGGTGAGACTCAAATCCAGGGTTATCCGGTTCTAGACCCCAAAGTCCTGAACACTGTACAACACTGCTGCGGAGAATTCTCATGTTCCTTGATACAAAATAACATTACCAAGCCTTAGCCTTAATCAAACCAGGGTGGCGAGGGGGGATATCTTTTGTGTAATGCTTTATAAACATCTGCAGCTTGAATCCATAAATGGCTTCTCAGTGATTAAGAATGTGGAGAGCTGCGCTTTCTGCAGCTCCACAAGGAACTCATGGTTACTCATTGCAAACTTTGGTTGAGAGATGTTGTTTTTCCCCTTAGGACACTCACATGGGAGTCAAGAAGGTGGGGCAAACACAACCTCTGGTCCTGTAAGGACACCCCAAATTCCAGGTGAGTTTCCAACTGTGAGGCAGAAAAACACGCTGAAAGTAGCTTTCTCAGAATGTCCCAGCAAGGAAGAAGAGACCCGTTTGAAAGCGCATTCTCTGCAATGCCCAACATATGAATCTGATTGCTCCTCTTTACAAGTTAAAGGATGAGTGAGAGTACTGCAGCCTCTTGGTAGGAAAAGATGGAATAGTCTTCTCTTCCTGGGTTCTGCAAACTAGCTGAGCTCATACTCAGATCTGTCCCTGGCCTGTCCCAGAGAAGTGTCATGTTAGTTACTAAAGCTTCCTTCCTAAGTGAATGATCACCAAGAGGACCCCATGTCATTCCTAGGTCCTTTCTATCCCAATCCAATTATCCCTTATTTCTGGGGTCCAAGGTGAAGCATGTAATTTTCCTCTTACAATTACAGACAGGGAGGAGCTACAAGAGCATTTATGTTAGATGGAGTGAAAACTTTCTTTTGGTTCCCCAACTAATTTTTTTTGGTCGAGGGACCGCCTGCTGATGTGGACAGAATAAACTTTTCAGAAAGTATGACGTGCAGTGAGGAGGCTGGGACACCTGGTTCTCCTGAGCATCAAGACAAGGAATTTGTTGCAAATTCTTTATTTGACTTGGAATCAAAATTGATTTGTCAAGGAGAATTACTAAAGGGAATCATCTCCTAAGGTTGTAAATTACCTTTTTAATTCTCTACTCTTCAGAGGTCTCCAAACTGAGTCTCCCTTGGGGAAAGAGAAGAATGTGTCTTGCACCTTTCTCCTTTGTCCCAGCTTGCCTAAGCACACCTGAAGACAGACCAGACAGAGAGAGGGGTGGGCTGCCCTGGGGGAGAGCGGAGGGGAAGCCTTAGCTGTCATCAGGCAGCAAGATTCTTCCCAGCTCCAGGGATAGTGCAGGTGGGACATCTCAGGGTGGAGACCAGGGCCACTGTGGGCAGGAGTAGACAGGAAGAACAGAAATGGGGCCCTCCTGTCAGTCTCCTCCACTTCTGACTCTACCTCCCTCTCCAAACTCATCTAAACCAGGAAAAGGTGAGGCAAAGGTAGTGCTGAGCAGGAAATCAGAGGTAAACCAAGATTTCCAAGAAGAAAACAGATGATGAGACTTTCCATGTCTCTTCTTTCTCAAGCCCTGGTTCATGGCACACATATACAACCCACTTTGCAACTGAATTTAGGAGAGTTGTCAAGTCATATTTTAGTCCTACAAGAGCCTGATTTCAAAATGTGTAGAATATTAATCCACAAGTGATATGTAATTATTGAAGACATTTGAAAAAATACAACTAGATAAAATAATGGAAATATAAATCACTTATTATCGATCTCACCATCCAGAAATACCACGGTTACCATTTTAATATACGTCTTTAATTTAATTTAATTTAATTTAATTTAATTTTATTTTATTTTTGAGATGGAGTCTTGCTTTGTCACCCAGGCTGGAATGCAGTGGCACGACCTCGGCTCACTGCAACCTCCGCTTCCTGAGTTCAAGCGATTCTCCTGCCTCAGCCTCCTGAGTAGCTGAGAATACAGCATGCCACCACGCCCAGCTAATTTTTGTAATTTTAGAGATGCGATTTCTCCATGTGGGTCAGGTTGGTCTCGAACTCCTGACCTCATGATTCACCCACCTCAGCCTCCCAAAGTGCTGGAATTACAGGCGTGAGCCAGCGCGCCTGGCCTTTCCTGTCATTTCAAAATGTAAAATATATACCAAAATGTGATTATGCCTTACATGGTGTTTAGCAAACATTGCCTACTGGTTAACCATGGCTTCCATGTCATTGAATATTTCCTCCTTGTATTGTAGTGCGTAATGCAATAGATGTACCCTAATTTATTTAACCAATCCTTTATTGTCTCCATTTCTGTTTTTTAATACAATGTAAGGTGGATAGGTTGGTGCTCTTATACAGGAAAAAATGATACTTTCAAAAGAAGCCTACATTTCCTTTTATTTGTTCAATAATATTATACCAAAGGCATCTACAAGATTCAACAAGTCATCCTGTCCTTTTTTAGAAACATAGTTCTCCTGAAGGGACTTAAAAATCCTGACTGATGATAAAAGATTAAAGCAAGAAGGCTGTTGGACAAATACTTATAGCAAATTGCTCTTCCAGAATTACCTGCCTATTGGCTGGACCTGTTGACCAGATCCCCCCCTGCAGCACTGACTGTGGTGCTTGTTTGAACTAGGTCAATTATAAAGTGCATTTTTGTTTTTACAAAGTGTGCCTCTGAAGCTCATACATGTCATTTAATTTACTCACACCAGAATGGCTGATCATCTTGGCATCCCTCTTGGCCTTGGCTTTGATTCTTGCAGTTTGCATTGCAGTCAACAGTCGAAGAAGGTAAGGGGCTGTCCTGGGGGCCTTCACCTTGGAAAGGGCATCATTTAAACTTGGGCTTTATATCCTTGCTGCTCAGAGTGTAGTCCCTGGAACCAGCAGCCTGGGCACGCTGGGAGTTTGTTGGAAATACACAATCTCAAACCCAACCTCAGACCTCCTATGGCAGAGTCTGCATCCTAACAAGATTCCAGCGATTCATGTGCATGGTGCAGCTTAAGACATCTTTCTCTGCCCCGGTTTTTAAAGACAGGAGACACCTGTGATTGTTTGGCTCATCACTTCTAAGTAGTGGTTGAATGCCTTGTGATTTTACATGTTTTTTAGGGTTAAACCTCATGCAGACTCTATCTGATAAAAGTTATGAAGTATCTCACCAGGAAGGCATACAAAAGTATATACTCATTCATTGATTTGTGAAATATTGATTAAATACATTCACGATGCACAAATATTGCATAAAGATTCAGTGATTCATCATCCCCTGTAGCCTCTCTGAGGTCCAGGGAATGTTTAAGAACTTTTACCAGAAGGAGGTATTGGCCTTGTGCTTTTGTTTGTTGTTTGCTGTTTGTAATGATATCATTTTTTATTTTCTGGGAACTGTAGTTGAAGAGATTCAGGTATACACACAATAGTAATTCTAGCAACAGAGGAAATGAACTTTAACAGGGGCATAAATCTAAATTTATAAAAGTATAAATCTAAATTTCTTACCCAAGACACTTTAAAGATACATTATTTTTCTCCAGGACATAATTCATAGGAATATTAAATCTTTTGTAAATGTCCCTTTAGATGGTTTCTCATAAGGTAAAAGAACCTTATTTCCAAGCAGGGCCACATTTATTGTGTCCCCAGATCACCTCACAGGGCAGAAAAATGCCCCTCAGTCTGGGAGAAGACCTAGAGAGAATTATGGACTCCTTACTGGCTTTTGGAAAGCAACCAACAGCTAATTCCAACACCATGGGCAGCCCATACAGTCTCTAATTATCTGAGAAAATCAAATGATGCTGTTATATAATTATGCTGGTACAAGTTAATAAAAGTGCCATATTACAGTTAAATAGCTATGTTGCTATCTATACCATTCAGGGCATAATTTTAAAAAGTAGTTATGATAGCTGATTGTATAAGGAACAAAACTGAGAGAAAAAATCTAAAAGGCTGCCTATGATTGAATGGAAAGATTTTTTTTTTAGCTGGATTTAAATAATGTGACTTGGGGGAGTCTTTACAAAGAGTCTTTATACCTTCCCTTCAGCTTCCTTGTTTTTCCTTGGATTACTTTTGCTCAATTAAATATGAATTTCCTATTGTGTGCAATCAGCCCTTTATTGCCAAGCCCTAGCATGCACCACTTTTGCTCACATACACAGTCCATAAGCTTTGCACATGTCACCATAGAAACGCTGGCACGGATGCTGTCAACATTCAGGGAGACCTCAGAGAAGCATCTCAGCTGTCCCCAAGAGCAGCTGGAGTCCATACATTGGAGCTGGGTATCTCCCCCATCGTCTGTGTCTTGTCAGAAGCAGACAGCAGAGAAGGGGCCTCACTCCTGCCCTCTCCCTCCTCCCAAGACCACAGTCACCCTGGTAACCGGCAAACAGGGACACACAGGGTCCGGCACAGCGAGTAGCTCACCAGGAAAGTAGCTGCTTGGACGCCATAGATCACTATGTCCTGATTTGATAATTGAAAACAGATTTGCCACGCAGCTAAAGGGTGGTTAACAGCTGCACAGGCCCCTTAATGGGCTCTGTGATTCTGAAGCTGTCAACCCATTTCTAATCCCCTTCAAAGGCTGGGGCTTTTCTGCTTTGAGTGTCACATTTAAGAGAAAGAGATACAGAATCCTATTTTCATCAGAGAAAGGTTGGTTGAAAATGGGGCCTCCAATGAGTGTTCATTTATTCAGCAAACATCTTTTGAGTGGCTCCTGTGACTACCAGCCCTGGCAAGGAGAAAGAGAAGGTAAAAAACAAAAAGAGTACCATCCCTTTTTTAAAAGAATCTTGAGGTTTAGTGGCAGTATTGGCCTCTTGAATTGGAATTGGCTAATATTTATTGAGAACATGCCCTGTGCCAGACACTGTTATATAAATTATGGTTAAAAGACAAAAGTGGAAAATCATTAGTCTCTGAAGTTGACATACAAGGATGGCTCATGGGCTTGCATGATGACGTGATCTGTGAGTCACGTTGTCTTAAAGATGCTGGCTTGGGGGTTCTATTACTTCTTTAGCTTTTTCCACTGCTGCCATCATCCACAACAGCTTTCCTTGCTGTTCCTCATGTCACCTGACTCCTTGAATTACAGCTCTCCACGGGAAATCATGCTTTATTCCCTCTCCGTGAGAGCACATAATTATTTTAGGAGTCAACTGGGTTGATAGATACTGGGTGAGGCTCCAGAGAAGATTTTCCTTTAAAGAATGTATCTGGGCCAGGTGCAGTGGCTTACGCAATGGCTCACACCAGGTGCAGTGGCTCACTTTGGGAGGCTGAGGCAGTGGATTACTTGAGCCTAGGAGTTCAAGACCAGCCCGGGCAACATGGTGAAGCACCGTCTCTACAAAAAAGACAAAAATTAGCTGAGCGTAGTGGCGCATGCCTGTGGTCTCAGCTACTTGGGAGGTTGAGGTGGAAGAATCGCTTGAGCCCCAGGAGGTAGAGGCAGCAGTGAGCCACGATAGTGCCACTACAGCCTGGGCAACAGAGTGAGACCCTGTCTCAAACAAACAAACAAACAAAAACCCATCTGAATTGTCTGAAGAGGAGAAAAAAACATGAGGACTTTACTATGCGCTGCTTGTACATAAAAACTGTTCACCAGCCTTCACTTTAATGGGAATAATCGTGTTTTCTACAAACCCCAGCAGGCAGTCACCCACACTCCAATCAGTAGGTCTTCTCTATGCATCGCCATAATTTAGAAATATTTTCATTCTCTTATGCTCCACAGGAGCTCCCGTAATCTGAGCTCACCCAGCTTCCTCCTGCTGTCTAGAACAGTGCTATGCAATAGAACTATCTGTGATGATGGAAATGTTCTATATCTCCACTGTCCAATATATAACTACTAGCCAATTGTGGCTACTGAGCACTTGAACTGTGGCTAGTTTGACTGAAGAAGTGAATTTTTAATTTCATTTCATTGTAATTAGTTTAAATTCAAATAGCCACATGTGGCTGGTGGCTACTATATTGGATGGCACAGCTCTAAAACAGTGCAAAATAAATCCCTAAATATCTTTAAGGATTGTCAGGTAGAAGAGTCATGAGATCAGCTGCCAAGTTACCCACCTAAATCTTTTGAGATAAATTCTGCCATGCCATAAAACTATGTTACCTGGCGTTTAAACCCCAGCCAGCCTGCCCTCCCTTTCCTGGTGAGGTCCCAGTCTGCCTCCTTCACACACTGTGTGATTGCTGTGTGCTCAGCTAATGCCTGAGATTTAAGGGAAGAGGAGAAAAAGGTAAGACACAGATCCACGAGGATCTCTGATCTTCAGAGTCAGAAAATCCAAGCTGTGGCTGGGCACAGTGGCTCACACGTGTAATCCCAGCACTTTGGGAGGCCGAGGCAGGCAGATCACTTGAAGTCAGGAGTTTGAGACCAGCGTGGCCAACATGGAGAAATCCTATCTCTACTAAAAATACAAAAATTAGCCAGGTGTGGTGGCGGGTGCCTGTAATCCCAGCTACTCGGGTGGCTGAGGCAGGAGAATTGCTTGAACCCAGGAGGTGGAGGTTGCAGTGAGCCGAGATGGTGCCATTGCACCCCAGCCTGGTTGATGAAGTGAGACTTTATAAAACAAACAAAAAAACAAACAAAAAACCAGAAAATCCAAGCTGTGATTCTTGCAGTGCCATAACTAGCTGTGAATTTGGACAATACCCTTGACTTCTTGGACTTGGTGTCCAGTTCATATAATGAAGAAGCTGGGCTAGCTCATCTCTGAAGCTCCTTCAGGTCTAGTGCTCCTTCTTAAATTCTTATAACTAAGAAGAACTTAAAAATTAGAATTTGTCTTTTAAAAGTACTTATTAGATGCCTAGAGCACTGAATATTGGAATGAGTTATTTATGAGAATCATCCTACCCTCCTGAAAGTACTCAGACAGATAGAAACACATAAACCCAAAGGGAAATGCTGGCCAGCCAAAACCTAAGCACAATATTCCTGTGTTCTATAGGTCAAATGTTATCCACTGTCAAGATCAGCTTCATTTAGATTAACAAAATTAATCCCCACCCACTCCCATGCACAGACACATTTTTTATGCTCATAAATCACTTTCCCACAATATTTCATTCCATCCCTCAACCACCCATTGGTTAGGCAAATGGGAATGACTTTAACTAGACAACTTTCCTCCAAAGAACACAGGGACCAGAGAATTGGAAGTAACACGAGCAGCATTCTACCCTGAGCCTTTTAAATCCTCTTCATAGTAAATAATAACGAGGTAGGTGGAGGAAGCCAGGAGAAACAAACAAAATTCATTTCATATGGCTTTTGTTATATTAACAATTATAGACAGCACTTGAAAGCTTATTGTGCTCCAGATACTGTTTTAAGTGTTATCCCAAACCTTAGTTTCCTTACCCCTCGTAAGAGCAAGAACAACAATTATTTCTTTATCCTTCATAAGAGCAAGAATAATAACAATAGACTCATTTATTTAGTGACAGTCTCTGTTTCAAGGGCTTTTCACAATCCTATGATATTGCTACTCTTAATAACCTGGTATTATTGATGCAAAACTGAGGCTCAGAGAGGTTAAGTGAGTTGCCCCAGGTCACACAGCAGGAAGTTCTCAAAACCAGGCCTTCCAAGCCCCTTTTCTTTTCTTTCTTTCTTTTTTCTTTTTCTTTTTCTTTTTTTTCTTTTTTTTTTTTTTTTTTTGAGATGGAGTCTTACTGTGTCACCCACCTGCACCTGGCCTCCAAGGCCCTTTTTTTGACCATGCATCCTGCTGGACTCCATCTGTATTCCTGGTTCCCATGAATCTGTTTCACGGTTCAAGCATCCTTCCCCCAACTCCTCATCAAGCCTCATGCCAGAGGAGACAGGATCTACCTCCTGTTGAGGAGGTATAATTTCTATTTCCCCAAACAAGAACTTAAAGTTTATGGCCTTGGCAGTCCTACAGGGAATGGTCCATGATCATGAATAATAGAGGCTTTGTCTCTATTACCCCAAATATCCAGAGGCAAAGTGAACAATTCTGACTTCATACTGTTTCCAAATCTCCAGAGGGCTGGCAGCATTGACAGAGCCAGGCAGAGTCCAGACTTTGGTCATAAAGGCCTGGATTTTAATATTGGCTCTGTCATTCTTACTCTCTATGTGACCTCGAGCAAGTTATTAAACCTCTTTTGGCCTCAGTTTCCACTGCTGTATTATGGGAACAATAGCTGCTTTGAAAGAGTCTTGTAAGAATTATAGAAAATTACATGTAAAGTGTCTGGCATTCAGGAGGTAATCTGCTTCCCTGCATCCCCATCTCGCTTGTAGTTGTGAAACTGTGCAACTTTGCTTCCTCTAAGCATAGTCTGACTTGTATATGTGTAGCAGTGATGTGTTACAGGAAAGAGGAAGCATTGTGTCAGGCTGGGTGGGGTGAAGCAATGGACAGTAACCAGGGAAAAGATCAAGGTCGTGCTCTTCCATGGCAATTTTCTTTTGCGTTTGAGTCTTAAGTAATGTTAAAGTAATGAGAATAATTCGTCTTATGTTATTAAACTTCCTATATCAGGGTTATATGGGAGTTAACCAATGTTAGGAAAACATCATGATGGCCTTACACCTCTAGAAAAATGTTTTATTCTTCTCAGCACATTCAGTAATAACGCTGACAAGGCCGACAAAGTGTTGACTGGGAGAGGAAGTTATCGGACTTTCTTGAATATACAAATCAGAATGATTTACAATCATCATGTTGATGGTTTATCTAAATCTGCAGAAACTGCTAACATGCTTAAAAGAGGCAAACATTTCCATTATAAAGTATGATAGAAGGGGAATCAGAACTTGAGAGACAGACCAGGGTTTGAATCCTCTTTTCTTACTTGCTGAGTTACTTGGGGGAAGTTACTGAATTTTCTGATCCCCAAGGTTTCTTCTCTTGGAATAGGGGGATAATAATAATAACACCAGCTTCCTGGAGTTGTAGTTGCTGATTGGCAAACTTGACTGTGCAGAGAAGCCCCCTGAGGAGTTGTGAACCACAGATACTGGGCTGCAACCCTAGAGTTTTCTGATTCAGTAGGTTTGGGGTGGGGCTGAGAATTTGTATTTCTAACAGGTTTCAAGGTGATGCTCTTGCTGCTGGTCCAGGGACCTCGCTTTGAGGAGTGCTGGTTGTTAAGAGTCTGGTCATTAAGTGCTGGTTGTTAGTTGTTAAAGTAGAGAAGACACCTAGTACAGTGCTTGGCACACACTAAAGCCATCATAAACCATAGTGATCCTCATGATGGTGCTCAATAATGATGATGATCTGATGCCTGAGTCACTGCACTCTTTCTCATATGGTACATTTTTTAAATTATTAGGTGTGGGCAGAAGAAAAAGCTAGTGATCAACAGTGGCAATGGAGCTGTGGATGATAGAAAGCCAAGTGGACTCAATGGAGAGGCCAGCAAGTCTCAGGAAATGGTGCATTTGGTGAACAAGGAGCCATCAGAAACTCCAGACCAGTTTATGACAGCTGATGAGACAAGGAACCTGCAGAACGTGGACATGAAGATTGGGGTGTAACACCTACACCGTTATCTTGGAAAGAAACAACCGTTGGAAACATAACCATTACAGGGAGCTGGGACACTTAACAGATGCAATGTGCTACTGATTGTTTCATTGGGAATCTTTTTTAGCAGAAAATTTTCTACTCTTTTTGTTTTTTGTGTTTTGTTCTTTAAAGTCAGGTCCAATTTGTAAAAACAGCATTGCTTTCTGAAATTAAGGCCCAATTAATTCAGCAAGAATTTGATTGTTCCAGTTCCCACGTGGAGGACTTTCATCCCTCAGGTGTGCTGTGGATGACTTCTAACAAAAACTACACATACATATTCCTGATTGCCAACCTTTCCCCCACCAGCTAAGGACATTCCCCAGGGCTAATAGGGCCTGGTCCCTGGGAGGAAATTTGAATGGGTCCATTTTGCCCTTCCAGTATCCTAATCCCTGGGCATTGATGTCCAGTGAGGTTGGGGGTTGTGGTGTACTAGTTACACATCTCCTTCAACAGACCCCCCTAGAAATTTTTCAGATGCTTCGGGGAGACACACAAAGGGTGAAGCTATTTATCTGTAGTAAACTATTTATCTGTGTTTTCAAAATATTACACCCTGGAGGTCCTTTGATCAGTATAATTTTTTAAAGTTACTTTGTCAGAAGCACAAAAGGGTTTAAACTGATTCATAATAAACATCTGTACTTCTTCCATCTTCACTTTTTGTGCTGTGATTTTTCAGTTTCTAAACCAGCACTGTCTGGATCCCTACAATGTATCAGGAAGAGCTGAGGATGGTAAGAAGACTCTTCTAAGTCTTCATCTCAGAGACCCTGAGTTCCCACTCAGACCCTCTCAGCCATATCTCATGGAAGATCAAGGAAGGCAGCACTGTTTAGTTTTTGACACTTTCCGAAGGTTTTCTGTCCTGTCCTGGAATCAGAGTTGGATGCTGAGGAGCTTCGGACTCTGTTATGGTTTAATGGCCAACTGTTCTCTCCTGTCATAGGTTTTGCAAAGTCACATTAAGTTTGCATGACTTGTTATCCCTGGGGCCCTATTTCATAGAGGCTGGCCCTATTAGTGATTTACAAAAACAATATGGAAGTGCCTTTTGATGTCTTACAATAGGAGAAGAAGCCAATGGAAATGAAAGAGATTGGCAAGGGGGAAGGATGATGCAGTGTAGATCCTGTTTGACATTTTTATGGCTGTATTTGTAAACTTAAACTTTGACACATCAGTGTCTGCTCTTGATGCAGTTGCTATTTAGGTTGAGCTAAGTGCCTGGGGAGTCCCTCAAAAGGTTACAGGGATTCCCATCATTGGAATCTTATCACCAGACAGGCAAGTTTATGACCAAACAAGAGAGTACTGACTTTATCCTCTAATCCCATATTATCTCCCACTTGGCAAGTCCTTTGTGGCATTTGTTCATCAATCAGGGTGTCTGATTGGTCCTAGAACTTCCAAAGGCTGCTTGTAATAGAAGCCATTGCATCTATAAAGCAACAGCTCCTATTAAATGGTATCTCCTTTCTGAGGCTCCCACTAAAAGTCATTTGTTACCTAAACTTATATGCTTAACGGGCAATGCTTCTCAGACCACAAAGCAGAAAGAAGAAGAAAAGCTCCCAACTAAATCAGGGCTGGGCTTAGAGTTGATCTGAAGAATATCTTTAAAGGAGAGATGCCAACTTTCTGCACTATTCCCAGCCTCTGCTCCTCCCTGTCTACTCTCTCCCCTCCCTCCTTCCCTCCACTTTGCCCCATAATCTTCAAAAACTTCCCTTCTTTTCTGTGAACATCATTGGCCAGTTCCATATTCAGTGGTCTGGGTTTCTTTTTATTTTCAATTTGAAAGAAACTGGACATTAGGTCACTATGTGTTGTTCCTGCCACTAGTGTGCAAGTGCCCCTTGTTTTCCCAGAGATTTACTGGGTCTGCCAGAGGCCCAGACAGGCTCACTCAAGCTCTTTAACTGAAATGCAACAAGTCACTCTGGGACAAGGTTCAAAATGGTTACACCAGCCTCTACCTGTCCCCCCAGGGAGAGAGGGGTAGTGATACAAGTCTCGTAGCCAGAGATGGTTTTCCACCCCTTCTAGATATTCCCAACAAAGAGGCTGAGACAGGAGATTATTTTCAATTTTATTTTGGAATTAAATACTTTTTTCCTTTATTACTGTTGTAGTCCCTTACTTGGATATACCTCTGTTTTCACGATAGACATAAGAGAGGTCTAGAGCTTCTATTCCTTGACCATTGTCAATGGAGAGCTGCCCAAGTCTTTACAAACCCTTGTAACATTGCCTGAAGTTTATGGAATAAGATGTATTCTCACTCTCTTGATCTCAAGGGTGTAACTCTGGAAGCACAGCTTGACTACATGTCATTTTTACCAATGATTTTCCAGGTGACCTGGGCTAAGTCATTAAACTGGGTCTTGTTTATAAAAGTAAAAGGCCAACATTTAGTTATTTTGCAAAGCAACCTAAGAGCTTAAGATGTCATTTTTCCTGCAATTGTAAATCTTTTATGTCTCCTGAGGACTTCCCTTAAAATTAGCTCTGAGTGAAAAATCAAATGAGACAAAAGACATCTTCAAATCCATATTTCAAGCCTGGTAGAATTGGCTTTTCTAGCAGAACCTTTCAAAAAGTTTTTTATTGAGATTCATAACACCAAGAATTGATTTTATAACCAACATTCATTCAATACTGTTATATCAGGAGTAGGAGAGAGGAAACATTTGACTTATCTGGAAAAGCAAAATGTACTTAAGAACAAGAATAACATGGTCCATTTACCTTTATGTTATAGGTATGTCTTTGTGTAAATCATTTGTTTTGAGTTTTCAAAGAATAGCTCATTGTTCATTCTTGTACTGTACAATGACCACTGTTATTGTTACTTTGACTTTTCAGAGCACACCCTTCCTCTGGTTTTTGTATATTTATTGATGGATCAATAATAATGAGGAAAGCATGATATGTATATTGCTGAGTTGAAAGCACTTATTGGAAAATATTAAAAGGCTAACATTAAAAGACTAAAGGAAACAGACTCAGAAGTCTCTAATTTAAAAGAATGGGAGGCTGAGAGGGACAGAACTATGCTTATCTGGCACTGTCTGGGTAACGTAGAGGAACAAAGTCAAAGGTATCTGAGGTAGCTGAAGCCTCACACTCATTTTATTTTTTAAAAAAGCAAAAACAAAATGGGTTTCCATCAACCTGAAAGTCTTCTTTTGGAGAAAATTTGGTTTTCTATGATTGACCTGTGGTTCACATGTTTCAAACTAAATGAGATATAGTAAAGTGTTCATTCTTTTAAAGCCAATAACTACTCCTGGACTTCCAGTTAAAGAGAGGAGAGTGTACATACCTTCATTCCCTCATGTAAGCCTCTAAAAAGAAAATAAAGAGATATTTCCAGATGGATTCAACCAATGGAGTTCAAAAGATTGGAAGAAGAGACAAGAGCAACAAAAAATTGAAGCTGAAAAGTGATAGCTGATTGGTAACTGAATGAACAGATCTGGAAAAGCTGACTCCTAAGCCTTCAGTGTGGAAAATTGAGAAACAACCAGATTTATGTGACAGAACCATCAAAAGGCTCAGCAGCTACTCTGGAAATGAATGGGAAGATAAGGCTAAGATTAGGAGGACAAGCTTAAAGTCTATGTAAGAAGCAGTTAGAGTTCCAGGTCCCCTTCCTCACTCTGTGTAACTGAATACCATCCTTTCCCAATCTCAGCAAAAGATCAGAAGTTTATTTTCTGGAGACAGGGAACTAGAGAGTCTCTGGTTGAAGTCCAACAGCACGTACACAGTTGACATTAGAAATACCACACGGTGATACATGCCTGTAATCCCAGCACTTTGGGAGGTTGAGGAGGGCAGATTGCTTGATCTCAGAAGTTAGAGAACAACCTGGGCAACATGGCAAACCCTGTCTCTGTAAAAAATATAAAAAGTAGCTGGGCATGGTGGTGTGTACCTGTGGTCCCAGCTACACGGGAGGCTGAGTTGGGAGGATCATGTTTGAGCCTGGGAGGTCAAGGCTGCAGTGAGTTGAGATTGTTCCACTGCACAGCAGCCTGGGTGAAGAGTGACACCCTGAATAAGAAAAGAAAGATAAGAAAAGAAAAGAAACAAAAAAGAAAAGAAAGGCCATGCTGAAAAAGTGAAACCATGCTTAAAGAGTGTTGAGATTCCCTATCCTTCTCTCCCAGCTTGGCTCTTGGAATACTGGCAGCCAGGCATATGTTCTCCAGGCAGAAGCTCAGTGTTTCTGGGGAATCTTATAAGCCTGAGATAAAATTCTAAAAATATTAACATGGTAGTTCCCCAAAGAAATGGCCCAACAAAGCGATCTGCAATGAAGATGGCATCTCAAGCCACACCAGGCACCCAGAAAGCTCAGTCAGCTTTCTGTAGCTTACTCACACATGAGCTGTTACCAAGGAGCACCAGACTTTTGGAGAAAACATCTAATATTAAAGTCAGGGACTACAAAAAACAGGAAAAAGTACCTTGACAGAAAAGAAACTGCTTAGAGAAGGAAACTTTCTCTAATAAGGGTCACCAATACCCTCAGTAAGGTAAGAGGAGATGGTATATCTATAAAGCAAGAACACAATGCCAGGATAAAAAGGAACATATAGAGAACACCTGAAAAAGAAGCTTTTAAAAATGTAAACGTGAGAGCACAAATTTAAAAATAAACCTCACAGAAGGTTTGCAAAATAAAGTTAAAGAAATACCCTCAGAAACAGAGCAAAAGCAAAGAAATGGAAACAGAGGGGGAATACATTGGGAAGACTGGCACCTGGTCCAGCAAATTTAACATGCAAATGCTGTAATAAAAGTCACAGGGAGAGAAAACAAATAGGAAGAAATCATCCAAGAAAAAAAATCAAGAAAATTTCTCAGAACTTTAAAACATGAATATCTTGACTAAAGACAAGGTGAGTACTTAGTGAAATGAATAAAAACAGACCCACACTAATGCATATTATCTTAAAAATTCATGACACCTGGGGCAAAGAAATGATCCTATGAACATCTAGAAAGGAAAAATACATATATGATGGATCAACAATCAGAATGGAATCAGATTTCTCAACGGCCACATTGGAAGATAGAAGACTATGAAACAGTGCCTCGAAATTCTGAAAGAATTATTTCCAAGCTAGAATTCTAACTTGTTAAACTGCAAATTAAGTATAATGATGGAATAAAGACATTTTAGGTAATCATAGTCTCCAAACCTGCTCACCCATTCACAGGCAACTCCCAAAGGATGTACTCCATCAAAACAAGGGAGTTACCAAGAGAGGAGAGGACATGAGTTTCAGAAAACAAAGTAGAAGGAGTTCTTAAGGTGATGACATAGGGAGATCCCAAGATGACAGCTGTACAGCAGGTTTAGAGAACAATTAAAGTTGGAGTACTGACTAATAATTAAAACAATCAATGTTTTGCTTTTATTGACTACTAATTAAAAAGAAAATTATTTTTTGTTATATTCATTAACTACTGATGCATTAAAAACTGTTCCAAAATTAGTCACTTAAAATAAAAAGCATGTATTTATTTCTTATCCATCCACCAGTTAACTGAGTGCTTCTGCTGATCTTGGCAAGACTCACTTGAGCATGATGGGACTCATGCATTTGTGTGTGTGATTAACAAACAGGTCAGCTGGAAGCTGTCTGATCTCGGATGGCTTCATCTGGGATGATTGGGGCCTTTTTCCATCTGACTCTCACCTGCCTCCAGCTGGCTGGTCCAGGACTGGCAGGGTTCCAAGTAAGAGCACATGCTCACAGGTCCTCTTGAGGCCTAGGCTCAGAACTGGTGCTCTGTCATTCCACCATATTCTATTGACCAATCAAATTACAAGAGCAGCCCAGATTTTAAAAGAAGGGAAATAGATTCTATCTCCTAATGGGAGAAGCTGCAAAGTCACATTGAAAAGAGTGTGGTTACCAAAAAGCCAACTATCAGGGCCATTAGTGCAATCAAGATCTATGATAGACATGTTGAAAGATTCTTGTGCTCAAGGGCACCTCTCATGTTTATGCTTAAAATACACTCACCATGTGAGCCATATTGGCAATAGCATTAACTTAGAAAACCATAAACAACTTTATAAACCCCATGCTTTTAGAAAAGGAAGGAGCACAGTCATGTGTAAATGTGTTTGGGAGATTGCTTGGTATGGTAGAAACAACATGAGCTTTGAGATCAGACAAATTTTGAGTTTTAATACGGATTCTACCACTTACTTAACTATGCAACCCTGTTCACACCTCTTAAATATTTTGAGTCAGTAAAGAGACAGTAAAACCTTCATAGGGTGGCTATGAGGATTAAATTTAATAAGAACCTGGCAGTGCTTACGGTATATTAGGTCCTCAAAAATATTAATTTCTACCTGCCATTGCCCACATATGCACAGTAGGTACTTAACTTCTTCCTTCACCATTTCCTCCAATGTTCTGAACTCTAACCAGCTTTTAGGTGTGAGTTGCTATTAACTTACAGTGGCTGGAGACAGATTATTTCAGCATCTGAAGCTCCCCATGAAGAAAGCCCTTCAATTTTAGTCGAAAGGTTTTTGCTTTCAAAGCAAGGCTAACAAGCAGGGAGTCCTGGAAGCAAATAGCTGACATTCATTGATCAAATCTTGGCCATCCAAGTTGTGGCTGCAGGTTAACCAAAGTTGGGCATCCACCCATGGCTTTGATTGTCACCTCCAAGAAGTTGTCTTGCCCCACCCATACCCACGATGAGCTCATTTCCCCCTTTGTGGGTATACATCTTACCTTGTCCATATGTCATTGTAGTTCTTACTCTGCAATTTCATTAATCTGCCCAAGAACCTGTCTCTTCTACTATATGATGAGCCTCTTAATAGCAGGATCTGCTTTGTGTATCCTATGTGCAACAGAAAACTCATCTCAATAATAGCCTCAAAAGTTACTGAGCACTTAATGAATGTCCGGGTTTACACATCTTTGAATTTCCCTTACAACCAATGAGGAAGAAATTCTTACCTGTTTTTAACAGGAGGGTCATCTGAGGGTACAGAGAAATTCATTATGGTCCCCCAAACCAAGTAAGCAGAAAGTGGTGGAACCAGGAATAGACCTCAGCTGTTTCCAAAGTCTCTGGCTTAATATGCCTGAATTGTCTACTGTCAGAAGTTTGGTAAACTGAATTTGCTGAAGTTAAGACATCATCTCCAAATGTTGCAAACCAGGTCTGTATTCCGGAGCTCTCTGTGCCTGGTGGAGCCAAAGGAGGCTTTCAGAAACCACTGAAAAGATTTGGGGATGAGTACACTCACGATTTAGACCATATTAGCAATGGAATTAATTTAGGAAACCATAAACAACTTCATAGATGCTGTGTTTATTGGAAAGGGAAGAATCAGTCATGTGTAAATGTGATTTTTACTGTGATGCCCTGGGCAAAGAAGGCTCAGTGGAGAAGAAAGTCTGGCTGGGCATCCTGGCCTCAAGCCCCATTTCGTGCCTGTGTTGACACCTGGTCTTGAACACCAGTAGTTTGCCTGTAAGGGCCGCCCAAAACCTGCCTCCTCAATCCTGCCCCATTAGGCTTCTAGACTGCTGATGTCATTACGTGGTGACTACTATTTTCCAGAAGTCTTGTTTAAACCACTTCCTCCTTCCTCTCTCCCTAAAGAGGAATAATAACCACCTCAGAAAAGGAGGCTAAGGTTTAGCTTTTAAAAGGTGATTTTTAAAATAAGACTCTCAGTTCAAATTCAACCTCTGCCATTTACTTATGTATAACCTTACACAAATTATTGAACAGTTCTGTGCCTCAGTTTCCTCATCTGTAAAGTGGGAATAATAATCTCTACCAGAAAGAATGCTGGGAGGTTAAATGAGATAATATCTGTAAAATGATGGAATATAGTAGACGTACATAGGTTTCCCTCCCTCATTTCTGCTATCTTCAACACTTTCCTTGTGTGAATACACAGTAGGGACATAGATAGAATATGAACCATGATTTGGGAGAAATCAG